TAGTGATATTTCAAATATTATTATATTTTTTCCAAAAAAAAAATTAATGTAAATCATGTCTTATTTAATTGACGAGTCTGATTAAATCAAAATAGGAATAATGTCTTTTGGCAAAACTTGCAAATTAATATCTGTGTATGTTATTAAGACATCCGAAAACCATTGGAAAATATCTAATTTCTTTGCAATATTCTTGTTTGTCAATCTAGTTCGTAATCATCGCAACCGAAACGTTTTGTTACTTAAACAATTTTAATTTTCTTTAACTGTTTTGCAGATATTTCGAACAAAAATATTATCGATACCACAGCATCATTGCAATGTCACTACTAGAGAATTTTTTGTCTCGAAAGTTATTCACTTGAAAATAATTTTAATAAAATTTTAAATGGTTCGACTTGAGTGTTTTCTTCAGTGATGTGATTGATTACAAAATGTAGTCTTCGTTAATCGACATATTAATCTTATTGTCTGTAGAGTTTTTTATTTTGTTTTTTCAGTTGTATCGATAGTTTAATTAATAAAAAAAATTCAATATACATTGTTATGTGGATATTTCTTTTTATATGCGTCTACTAGAATTATGTTATTCTTGAAATCATAAAGATCACAAAGAATCTTGTGCTGCATTCTTATTTATAATTTGATTCATTTATTCTTTTTTTGGAAAAACTAACATAAAAAGATTTCTTATTTTTTCAGAAAGCCCCACGAGAACAATATTATGAACATTTGAAACTGCTTTCAATAAAAATCGTTGGAATTCCACAATCTATTCAGTTTTTATCATTTTATACTTCCAATGTTACGCTTCACGATTGAATAAATCTTTTTTTCACTGTTTTAGAGTCAGACTGTTAATCAGGCAATCTCTAATGTGCAGCTATTATCTTGTTGAAAGCGTTAATGTCTTTTTGAATATTTTTATGTTTTTATTTCTTGTTTTCTCAGTGTTGTTTTACTATTACGATTAATACGTTGTTTATTAATTTTTTTCTTTCACACTAAGGACATATTGTCGATCATTGTTGCTTCTTCACTCAACTGAATTTACGGCTTAGAGAGTTGATCAAAAGTTCTGATAATGCTGAATAAAAATACCAAGATCAAAATACATTTTTAATTTTATTCTATCAAATGTATAATTATTTTTACCAAGTTCGAAAGTTTGTTTGAGCTCTTTTTCTAAAAAACTTGTAAGTTCCTTGAAAACTGCATGAGCTAATCATGCTTTATTTTTCTGATCGATTTCAAGAATTTGTCGAAAAGTTGGGTGCGGATATTAGTTTGCTGACTTTCTCTTTACTCACGCTCTCATTCAAACCTACATCATATCTCAATGACAATTGGATCGTCATGTTTTCATCAGATTCCATGCTACGTATCTATTGATGTTCACTTTTATGATGATCAGTATTTAAAAGTATTGCTTGAGAATTCATTGGAAAAACAGACCACTATTCGATACAAATGATATTAAGCAGCATCATAATAATGCAAAACTACATATCAAAGATGTTGCTATAATGCCATGAACTTGAGGAAGAAAAAAATAAAAATGATGACTTCTGTGACATACTCCTGTAACTAATATTTCTCTTTGAAACTTATGATTTTTCAACTATGCTAAAGACAAGTTTCACATCTATTCAAATGAAACGAGCTTTACAAAAAATTATAGCCAAGAAGGTCAATGAAATAGTTATTGACAAATAGAAAAAGACATTTAAAGCATTCATGATGACTATTTCGAGCATTTCACATAGAGAAATATCAATTTAATATTTTTTTTCTTCATAAATAGATTTTCCAAAGTTGTAAACTCTTTTCACTGACCGAATTCAGCATGTAAAGAAGTGTTAAAATTAGAATCGTTACCAAGGGGGGAAACGGCGAAATTCCATGGGATTTCAGGGGTTCGTGAATCCCTGAAATCCTACGAGAATTGAAGAGAATTCCGTGGCATTCTCGGAATTTCTATGACTTCTCGGAGTTTTTATAGTCGCAAATGACATTCTCGAAATTCATATTAACCTCTATGATCCTCACTCTCGTCCTAAAAATCTCGTAGAACTCGGTGATAAGACTTCACGGATTGATCAAGTGGTTAGAAAAGCTGCATTAAACTAGTGACGAAAATCATTTCTTATGTGAAATTTTTTTTCGTATGCTTAACGTGTGCAGACATCGAGCTTTGCCTATAGTACATCACTTTGTTGTTCAAAAATCTCAAGAAGCCCACGCGTTTGGGAGAAGGAATTTCATTAATATGACCATAGGCAAAAATTTTTGGGTATGCGCATGAGATAATTAAGAATCTGGAAAAACTAAGTCACATGCATGGAAAAATAAGTTTCATTAAAACAGTCATTAACAGCAGTAGTTATATTGTCACAAGTCGAACTTATTCTCAAGTGAAGAATGTTCAATCTGGAAAGTGATTGAAACTCGAAACTACTCTTTCTTATCTAGAAGTTCTTTTTTATATGTATGAAATATGCACTTCTCAAGCTGTGTCTATAGCGCAAGATGTTCTTGCTCCAGATGCTTATGTGTTTTATGCGTATAGTCCCAGATAGTTCGTTACGGTTATGTATTTTGCAAATTCTGTACAATTAACCTCTTTAGATTGATATCAATTTCATTTTGATAACATGACAATTTACTTTCTAATTTTCATGGGAAAATGTCCGAGGTAGAATAACAAACAGCAGCAAGGAACAAGATAAATTAATGAGTAATACAAGAAATATGTTGAATTAAATGAATATGTGGCATCTAATGTCGAGTCTTTTTTTCGTTCAATAATCTGACAATTGAACATGTTTAAAACAATAAGGTAGTAGCACAGCCCTCCTATCTTCTAATAGACAACAGGCTCTGTATCCATGACTACATTATTTTTGGCATCAATTTTGACACAAGAGAAAAAGAGTTTGAGATTGAAGGAGATACTGGCTCGAAGATTCTTATTGTATGAAATCGAGACTTATTGCTAGCTTTTCAAAGAAGACAGTTACGAATTTGGTCTTAGCATCGGTTATATTTCTCTGATTTCGATAAAAAAAAGAAACATAAGATCTGAAGTACTAGTTTGACTCTGAATCCAATGAGTTGTAATTATTTTCGTTAGATTAGACGATGCGAATTTTTTTGCACACTAGACTAAATAAGACATTGTCTCACCATTGATACACTTTTCAGACTAGAAATAATTTAACACCGTTATTATGTCTATTTCATGCTAAATGAAAAAAAATTTTCAGAAGTTTGTAACTGAAGAAAGACATCAAAAATTGAGTAGTTCGTTTCAAAAGAGATGTGTTGTTGTGAAAAATAGTCGTCTAGTTATTCGGATTTTTCGACCAGAAAAAGGATTAACAAACGTAAAAAGCTAGTTTTTCGTGATCAGTAGCTCACACTCGATCAAACTATATATAAAATGGCAAAAACAAAAATTCAACAGTTAATGAAATAAGAAAAAGAACTCATTGTGAAACAAAAAAGTAATCCTTCTTCCAAACTGGAACAAATGTCTTATTATTTGACAAACATCTTGATTGATGACAAAAGCAGTCATTTAGTATGGTCGACCTATTATCAGTACAGACTTAGTACATAAGCCTGGCCGTTTCCACAAATAATTTGGAATTGATTAGCAGAACCTCTGTAGTAATATTATTGAACCTTCAATGATAATACATATGGTTTCATAAATGTTTTACTTGTATCAAGATTTTTGAATAACTTTGAAATATTTTCTTTCGTTAATAAACAAGGATTCGATTTGATAGATAAGAAAGGCATTAGATGGAAAAAAAGAAGTGTACTTGTTGACCATTTAAATAGGAATAATATCTCCTGTAACCTATGGATGATTTAATAACATAACAGTCTTTGTTTTTTCTTCTTAGCATAAGATAGTTGAAAAATTTATATTTAATTTGAAATTTTTGTTGCTTGCTGTAGGCACTAGTAAAAATTAGTTTTCACTTTTATCTATTTAAGACTCGACAAAGTTATTCATCTTTTATATCAAATGCTTTTACTCAAACAATAGACCATCTCAGTCTTTTTATTCTAATACGAAAAATATATCACAATGTTCGATGGAGATCCTGATTATTCTGACAGAAAACGACTAAATAATAGTCATAAAGGACAACTGTTGGTACTCATGAGCATTATGCATTAGATTAATGATCTTGTTCCATCAAATAAAATTAATACAATGGTATTATTTAGCAGAGTTTTTAAAAACGTATTAAATGATATTTTATTCGAAGTTGATCGCTGCTTTTCACAGGCCAGCATTGAGAAGACTTTGTTATGGCATCCTCATCTTTTATAGACAAGCTAACAAAAACAATACTTTGTCATATTCCTATGTTCTATTTGATAGAGAAAAGAAAGAACTTTTATTTTGTATATTAGTCATAATATAGCAGCTGGAGAAAGAAAAAAAAAATAATGTATATAAAAAGTAAAATGTATAACGCTATACCAGATGAATACTGTTGAGTTTTGAATTATCCGCATACAGTCTCAAAAAAATCTTATAGTCTAATTCAAAAGATCAATGATTTCTAATACCCAAACTGACTGTGGTGAAGATAATAACATTAATTTTGATAGGAGAAGACCATTTCATGACTTAATGACCCTCTTATTTTCATTTGCACAGTCAAGGATTGATAATGTTTGTTTTACGCATGAATAGATTCATATAAAATCGAAAAAACAAACATGTTTTTCAACCAGAAAGCAATGCTAAAGACAATGAAGCTCAGAGACTTATTTATCAAAACCGGTAAAAATATTTTTTTTCGGGTAAAAATGTGCTCCTATCTAACTGGCTAGTGAATCGATATGAATAACAAATGATTTGCCTATATAAGTGAAGAGAGAAAAATGCATATTTGTAATTGTATCACGATTTTAGCTATGAGACATCAACTGTTTGGTCTTCTTTTCCGTGTCTCACCACACAAAACTTATTAATGCCGACAGTGCGTGTTTTAGTTGATAAAAATCGTGGAGAAAAGTATGGTATCGATTATCTTACAGAATCAGATGATGAGCCTGAAGATGAAGAGTTACAAGAAAAGCTTGGTGATCATGTTAAATTAACTGCTTCAGACCTTCCACCTATAAAGTCGATCTTCGTTCACAAATGACAACCGTTGAAAAACAGGGGACCACATGGAGCTGATATGAATAAAATTGTTTACTTTAAATCAAGATATCTTTGAAATTTTTATTAATTTAGTGCAGCAAATTCTCTTGCAGGTAAATATGAATTTGTTTTAAAGATTTCATAAATATTTGATTGTAGGAGCTTATGAATATTTATTAAAAAAAAACTACTGGTTCCGATATTGATGTAAGTCGATTATTTATTTATTACAATGCTCGCGTTAAAGCTAAATCTCGAGATAGAAAAATCTTAGATAAAGGTAGTCGTATATCATTTGCTATTCAGGCATTAAAAGAATTTGGTACATGTCTTGAATCAGTTTGATAAATAAATAAACGCCCTAGTGATGAAGCATACGAAGCAGCCCAAGATCATAAAATAATTGATGCATTAAAAGTTAATATAGATTTAAATGAGATGAAAACATGCCTTGCACAAGGATATCCATTTGTATTTGATTTAAAAACATTTGGATTATATGAGAAAGGAAAAAAAAAGGTATTGTGCAAATGCTAAAACCAGAAGACATACTACCAAAAAAGATATTTAGGTTTGATTTTATTTCAATAATAAAAATAAAACTAAAAATTGATCATTTCAGGCATGTAATGTTAGCTGTAGGATATATTGATCGTATGAAATCGTTTATCGTTCGAAATTCCTGGGGAGAAAGTTGGATAAATACGAGTTTTTTTAAAGAAATATTTATGCTTTGTTTCATGTTAGGGTGCTCGAAGATATTGTTATATTCCATATAACTGATCCGAAGTATTGTCGTGATGCATATTCTATTCGTCGATTGGCAACTGATGATATTGGTTATGACAATTGGTGTTATGATGATCACTCAGATAATTCTGATGAAGAAGAAGACAACGGTAATGACTTTTATATTATAGATGAAGAAGTAAAAGAAAAACAAGAAAAACAATAATGATTAAGACAATCAATACTAAAGTTTTTCGAGTGATAAAACAGTAATCAGCATAAAAAAACCAATGGATTTTGTTTTATTCATTCTAACAATAAACTTATCAAACTAACAGATTTAGTTGAAAATATTTTTTTATTTCATAATTTCACTATTATCTATTTATAAACGCTTATTGAATAAATAATTAGCTGAACATTTCTTACACATATACACATTAAACATGTTCATTGAAATAAATATTAAGAAGAACTTGTAGCAAAGATTTGCAGTTTTCTTCTATTGAACAAATAAATAATGGAAATATTTATCAGAATTAAAGCAATATCAATGGTAAAAAATTGTTTTTTGTTTGAATGATAAATCTCATCATTAAATCGTTCTGGATGTTAGATGTTCATCAGGCTTATCGAATTCAAATAATTCGATACTATACATCTGAAAATACGTTGCCAAAATCAATGAGACGATCAAATGCAAAAGGAAGTGAGAAAATAGAACACATTGCTTCATGGCTATTAATAATGTTTATGATAGTAGCTGTACGTTCGTGTCCAATATATATGACAGTTTCGTTCGATATTTTAGCTAGGCACATAACGAAATAAATCAACAGTATCGTCATAGGTATACATAGAAAAAGTGAATGAATGAAGTCGTGGCATACAAACTCGAATTTCATTTTGAAGAGGAGTGCCATCCATGAAAACATCTCAATTTTCTATATGAAGATACTAAGTTAACTTTTCTAAATACGACATACGATACAGAACGTGATCAGTTGAAAGATAACATTTTAATGAAAAACGTTTCAAATTAGGTAAGTCATTATATATGAAAAAAAAGAATATTTATAAATAGATATTTCTTAATTGATCTAAAAAAATAAATCACGCGTACCATTAAGTGGCAAAATATTTCAAAATTCTTATTTTCATCAAAATAGTCAATGTATATTAATAATGATTAAGGCAATAGAATCTACACGAGCGTTCATCGAGAGAATCAATTTTATGGTCACCATTGATACATACTTTGTTTTGCATCAATCGATTTCTCATATAAAACTAGAATTATGAGAATATTTTTAGAGTTTTGCGATGGAATTACAAGCATTGAAACATAAGAGGGATCTTTAAAAAATCAGAAAAAAATGAGCTTTGCCATTTTACTTACATCTCGACCATTCTTCGTCTGTATCATTTTAGCAGCGTCCCATTCGAATTAACTTAAAAAACTGAACCAAACGAAATCCTTTTCAGTGTTTTTAAAATTTGCAGTCTTCATGTTGAAAAATTATGATTTGATCGAATTTCATATATTTGGAATTAGCATAAAAAAACAGAGTCGACTGATGTGTATTTCAAATACCTTTGATGCAATTTTTTTCATCGGAAATTCACTTCTTGTCCCTATGAGAGTTTAGTCAAAAAAATGAAATTCAACAAACAATGATTCCAACACTGGCAAGCAAAGTCTAATGTTTTTTGAAATAATAGTAGAACTCAAAATAAACGATGATGAAGCAATAAAAGGAACGTCTTAATCAATTTCATTTTTTGACAAAACCCTGAGAGTACTAAAAGTGAATTTCCAATGAAAAATCTTATCAACGATATTTCAAATATCCATCAGCCGAATCTGTTTTTTTTGTTTATTCAAAATGTATGAATTTTGATCAAATCATATTTTTTTTCTAGCCAAAATCTGCTAAATATCAATAAAAAAACAACGAATTTATACCCCACGTATAATATGCTTCCGCTTTTTTCGATCCGTTGTGAAAATTTTTTCACAATAGCTTTATAATGATTTTGTAGAGCGCATAATTCTCTGCAAGATGCACTCTATTAAAACTCTCTGATCTATTATCGTATTTAAACAGAGTTTACAATAGAAAAAAAAAGTTGATTTAAACTGAAACACATTTTTTTCAGAAAAAATAATTTTTTAAGAGTCAGATAGGTGTTTCTGTTTACTTTTTAAAGTTATTTCGAATGAAACGTTACTCAAGCGAAATGGATAATAAACTTGCGAAGATATAAGCGAAACAATGGAGACAACCTTTTTTCTTTTTGCCTTTTGTGAAAGTTCCTCATGTTTCAATGCTTACAGCTCCATCAAATTGCATTAGAAGATTCTAAAAAATATTCATAATTCCAGTTTGATGTGAGGAATTCGTTGACATAATAAACGTGCATGTCAATGCCTGCCATAAAATGATCCTATAGTTGGATGCCTGATAGATTCGCAAAATCTCTCTTGAATATCAAAATAAACTTCAATCACTGAACTTTTTCTTTAAATATTTTTCTGAATAAATTAAAAGTATACAACATTATATGTTGTGCATCGATGATGACAAGTCGTCTTTATAAAGATATTTGAACAATAAATGTAGTCACTTGTTTGATGGTAAATAATAAGGTTATATAGCTGGATATGATGAATTGAATGTTTCAATAGTATAGTTTTTTCAATGATTCTACCATACCACTTTATGATTATCTTATAAGAATAAGATCTGTAATTTGTTGTCGAAAGACATATTGAAAGGATAGTTCATTTAAATAAAAAGTAAGAAAGCACTGTATAGACTGTTTGACTTATTTGTAAATTATCAATGAATACAAAATTGAGAATGTTACTAAATATTTTTTTCTTGTACTAGAATTTTAAGATGTTCATTATTTATGTTTAATAATCAATCAAGAACACCAAGATTATTCAATTGTTTCAAAATAATCAGTAATATGTCATCAGATCAACTCATATTTTATTCTGATTATAATGATTCTCTTTTAAACAGAAACATTTATACATGCATATATCTATTATTTCTTCGCAACTGCTTTAGTCATTGTGAAACTGAATAGACAATCTCATATACACAAGTATTCCATCGCGTTCATTGATTAGTAGCAGAGAAAGATCAAAATGAAAATGTCGAAACTAGGAAAATATTGAAAAGAATAATGTCTACAGTAAATTTTAACGCATGTTTTATTTATCATTTCATAGTCGTTTTAATCGTCGAGCACAATTTGAACATCAAAACATTAGTTTTGTTTTAAATAAAATTTCTTCAAGGAGAAGAAAGCCGTTTTCATACATACGCATACTCAATTCACTGTGGATTCAGATGTAAGAGCAAAACAATTACTATTTAACGTCGTATAGATAATCTGAATAACGATATTATTTATGATGGCTTTATAAATCTAATGGAATATCTGGTGACTTATGTATTATCTATGTTGCAACATTAGGTACTGCTCACATTTTAGGACACCACTTTTTATTGATTTTCGGACCTTTTCCCGTCTATACCATCCTTCTGTCATTTTTCTGAGATCCACTTCTCTGTAATGATGCCATTAAAATAATTTTAAAATATTTTATGGAGTACCAACTGCAAATATTCCGGTACCGTGTTTGAAATCTATACAAGAAGTTCACGCTTATGCCTATTTTTCTTTTTCATTTTAAAGAAAGAAGCTGTTAGAGCACAACATCTGCTGGAATAAACTCTAAAAAATAATCTAGCTGCTTATAATAATTATAGAAAGATTGTTGTAATCTATCTAATTTCTAGTATATTCCTACACCATTCTTTTACTTATTCCATCAGAACTGGAATCACGAACTAGTTTATATATTATGATAAGATATTATTGATGTGTACGGTCTTTGATCATCTGTCGAAAACGTCTTGTACAGGAGATCTATCACGATATATGTGCAGACTTCAACACTCATTTTTAGATCATATTGTAAAAAAAATGCGTTCCGATGTGGAAGAAGTGACTAATAGACTCTGACTCACATCTCCATTTAAATCATTAGCACTCAAAAACGAATTGTATAATTATTGATTTGACTGCATGGTTAAGATATGCATGTTGTTGTATTCTATTTGACGAGAAAATACATATCGAAATTCAAGAAAATAAGTTCGAACTGTTTATTTTATTTTTTAATCTATTACAGAACATAAACGAACAACGAATCATAGCCCTTTTTGTCTCATTTTACATTTCATTCTATCTAATCATCGTTCGCTTTAATTTTTACACTTTATAATACAAAAATCATCAGTAGTATCCACGATCCAGAAATCAGCAATTCAATACAATAGAAAGAATTCAAGATAGATTCATGAGTCACTGATTTACAGATTGCGAGTAGCATTAAATTTGAGAAATTTGAGATATATAAATATGTTTCAGTTATATCTTACACATGTATCTTGAATATCTTTATTGTCGAAAACGTGGAGAATCATAATTAATGACGAATATATTCAATAGATTTTTCTGATTACCTTGTCACTAATAGTAAAACATTATTGGCAAGTCTTATTTTCAATATTGGCCTAAAGATTGCAATAAAGAAAGAAAAAAAAAGGATGCGCTTGTCGATATACGTCTGACATACAACCATGAGACGATGTGTGGAAAGAAAAAAACAAACATATTGATTCAATATTGTATACAAAAAAAAAGAAGAAACTACTGTAATAGTAATTTTTATAATTATCAATAGGCAATTAAATTGTTCGTATAAATAAATGACAAGCTTGTTTTTTTCTTACGGTACAGAAACTATCAATGCCGATTCGAACATATTTATTTAATCGATTTAATGATAAAAAATTTCGACTCAATGGTATCAGCCTATCAAGCCGATTACCAGAGAAAGAAAACTTACGACAGTCTTTTTCTGATCATGTCCTATATAGTAATGATCAACTTCCACCAAAAGTTGACCTTGGACCTTATATGACAACTGTTGAAGACCAATCTAAAATTGGTAGTTGGTAAGAAGGAAAAAATTCGAAAAAACAAATCTATTTTGTTTTTTCTTTATTTAGTACAGCTAATTCACTTGCGGGTAGAAAGAAAAAGATGCATTTCTTTTATTTAACATTTCACATGTTGTTTTTGTCATAGGAGCTTATGAATATTTGTTAAAAAAAAGGAATGAGTCGAATATTGATGTGAGTCGTTTATTTATTTATTACAATGGACGTGCTAAGAAAGATCAGACGGCTGCGATAACTGATAAAGGCTGTTCAATGACCAATGCTATTGAAGCATTAGAAGAATTTGGTACTTGTTTTGAATCACTTTGGCCTTATGATATATCATCTGTTAATGTACGACCTCCTGATGAAGCCTATGAACAAGCTAAAGATCATCAAATAACTTCTGCATTTAAAATAAATATTGATTTACATGAAATGAAATCATGTCTGGCGCAAGGTTTTCCATTTGCATTTGGTTTACGATTGTATAAATCGTTTGATAAAGCAGGTAAAACTGGTTTTGTACCAATGCCAAATCAAGATGAACAAAGTCGAAGTGAACATGGCAGGTCTGATTAAAGTTTTTATAAAAATTCAATGATAATAGATTGTTTTTTTTTCACTATAGACATGCATTGTTAGCTGTCGGTTATAGTGACCAATCAAGAGTATTTATTGTTCGAAATTCATGGGGAGATGATTGGGTAAATATGCGTTTGTTCTTAAGAATTATCTTCATTTATTTTAATTTTAGGGTGATCAAGGATATTGTTATATTCCATATGATTATTTAGCAAATCCAGATTTATGTTTTGATGTATGGACCATTCATCAAGTAGAAAATGATGATATGGGTCAGGAACATTGGGATAATGATGACTATGTTGATTATCGATGGAGAGCAGCAGAAAACAATGATGATAATGATGATTATCATGAAATTCAAGATATCGATGAAGACGAAGGAAATGAGTTAACTGACACTAGTAGTGCATCAGACAGTAATGCCGAAGATTAATCAATTGATGTCAAATGATAAAATCGAACTAATAGTTAGGCATCAATTAATGTTAATACCATTTTTCTTAAACCATAATTGTTAACTTAACAATAAATAAAATAATATTAAATAAATTCAGAAAGATTAATGTATGAGATACTTTCAGATTTCTATAAACCACTCTCGTGTATATGTGATGAACGAAAATCATTCTTAATCCTGACTTAGAATCAATTGATAGAAAAGACAATAATATTCTTTATAGCATTTGATTAATTTCCACCAAAAAAATGATTTTCTACCTAATATGTTATCAACACAAGATCAATTGAAAATTGTCATGTCATTAAAAAATATAACTTCAATTTATTTCAATAATAAATTCTTTGTATATTATTGTAGATTGTTTCTTTTACGAGCTTATGACTATTTAACAAAGAATTCGAATAATCTTAACAGTGATATGAGTCATTTGTATATTTATTATAAATGTACGAGTTATAGGTAATAATTCGGATTCAATCAACGATTTTGTTTGCTTGATACTATATGCTATTGAAACATTAGAAAGTTTTGCATGATCCAATAGTTTTCAAATGCATTCAAGATATTATATAATTGAAAGTGTTAAGTCATAATTGTTAGAATCAATATGGGATATATACGAAAGCTTGTTTTGTAGACTCTTTTAATTTCTATGCTTTTTGTTAAATTTTTATTAATTGATTTTTTGAGGAATGATGCGAATTATTTTCATGATTACGATCTCTTTCAGGAATATCGGAAAAAAACTAATTTTCGAATTTCGACTTGAAACTTTGCACAGAGGTCAACGTTAATAATTGATGAGCAATATAAAAGATAAGTTTTCATCATAGCTATATGTTAGGATAGATACGACGAAAAGATTTGAAACCTTCACAATAAAACGATTCTAACAATAACCTATCTGCATGGTAAATTGCAATTCAATATTCGAAAATATCATTTTTCTTAGTCTTTCTGAAGACGGACTATGGTATTGATGTGAGAAATATCGTGAAAAAAAAAGGTAATATCTCCGAAACAGTGAGTTAACAGTTCGAACTCTTTTCAGGATGTTCATAGCTCATTACGATCTACATAATTCTCACAGTCTTTATTCAAAACTAATGAATCAGTAAGGGAACCTTCCTCATTAGTAGAAGTTTTTTCATATAAATTCTCTTACGAATTTCAAGATGAAGACTATCATTATAAGTGTCAAATTGAATACAAAAATCTATTCGGTTTTTTTTTTAAACTATTATAAAACTAATAGTTTTACTTTTTCATAACGAAACATTATAATATTTTCTGTAATGATAAAGATAATTTTTGCAAAAAAAAAAAAAAACATATTTTGGTAATAATAAATATCTATTAAATGCAAAAAAAAAATTTAATCATTTTGAAAATCGATTTTGATGTTCTCTTCACTCATGTTTGAATAACTTCGAATTATACCAAATTATATATACCTAGGTGATTAGTAAAATCAATTATCGTAGCTGTTGAATCTCTAGAGGATATCAATAATTAGTAGTTCATCATTCAATAAGCCTGTTTATCTTAAAATTGTGATGATTAGCATAAATAGAAAAATATTTCATATTATCAATAATATATACGCACATTAATTATTTATCGTACTTATTATTTTTTAATTAAAACTAATTAATGGAGTCTTGTCCCAAAGTAATGAATAGTTTACATTCCGATTAGAAAATAAGCAAGGCATGTTTTTATCAATCTTTGTCACCTACCTGTCAATTAATTGGCGAAGAGTCAAAAAAAAAATAGATACTGATTTATTTACAAATACATATATATACGAAATAAAATTTTCTTGTGACCAGTTAAATTGGTTTGGTTTTTTTGACGACGAATTTATTTTTCTAAAATTTTATACGATAATAATATGCCACTTAAAACTTATTTAATAAATAAAACAAATAATAGAAGATTTCGACTTGATGGACTATTACGATCAAGTCGTTTACCAGAAAAAAAACTATTATGTCAAAAATTTCGTCAACAAATGGTGTTAAAAGCTAATGAACTTCCACCAAAAGTTGATCTTCGATCAGATATGACTCCTGTTGAAGATCAATCAAAACTTGGAAGTTGGTAAGAAAATAATAATTTCGATAATTTAAAAAAAATATGTATTTCTTTCATTTTATATGTTTTAGTGCGGCTAACTGTCTTGCTGGTACAAAAAAAAAAAAAAAATAAAATAAATAAATCATTTATATTTTATTGTTGAATATTTTTCATTTAGGAGCTTATGAATATTTAACAAAAAAATCAAATGGTCTTAGTACAGATGTTAGTCGTTTGTTTATTTATTATAATGCACGAGTTAAAGGTAACGATTCGGAATCAATCGAAGATACTGGTTGTTCAATGACAGATGCTATTGAAGCATTAGAAGAATTTGGTACATGTCTCGAATCAATTTGGCCATATGATATATCACATGTGAATACACGTCCTAATGAGCAAGCTTATGAGCAAGCAAAAACCCTTAACATAAATGAAGCACTTCGAGTTGATATTGATTTAAATGAAATGAAATCTTGTCTTGCACAAGGTTTTCCCTTTGTATTTGGCATAGAATTGTTTAGTTCATTTGATAAAGCAACACAAACAGGTGTTGTACCAATGCCTAATCCATGGAATAGTAGCCAAAAATTACATGGGAGGTTTGTTCATATAAATATTTAGTGATTTAGACAAAAAAAAGAATTTCGTCTGTTTTGTTTTGTCCAGTCACGCAATGTTAGCTGTTGGTTACACTGATCAATCAGAAGCATTTATTGTTCGAAATTCATGGGGAGAAGATTGGGTAAATATGAGTTTATTCTTAAGAATTATCTTCATTTGTTTTTATTTTAGGGTGATCAAGGATATTGTTATATTCCATATGATTATATGACTAATCGAGATTTCTGTTTTGATGCATGGACAATTCGAAAATTGATGAATAATGATTTTAGTAAAGAACATTGGTTTTTTGATGATGGTATTAATTACCTTGATAGCAATACGAATCGTTATTTCAATGATATTGATGATGATGATGATCATATAATTGAAAAATTGGATGAAAATAATGATGATAATAATGATACATGCTACAATATTAATCACGATATTTGGTGTTATGATAACAATTCTCGACGTACAAGTTATAATAACAATACTCGCCGTGAAAGTTATAATAACAATTCTAGACGTGAAAGTTATAATAAGAATCCTAGACGTGAAAGTCATGATTGTTTGGATCCATATCGAAATGTTGAAAGTTCGTTTTTCTATATTGATTAATAAGTATTTATTTATTTTTATTTTTTTGCATAATTAAGGAAATTATTCAATAAATGATGTTAATTATAATGATGAGAAAAATCAAGATAATGAGAATAGTAAGTCATTCGAATATGAATCTCTTCCCATTTAAATCACAAAAATTAAATAATTATTTAGGTTATATACAGGATGATTTTAATTCTGTTAGAAAACATTCAAATTCAAAAACCAATCAATATAACAATGAAGAAAATTATTGTAAGTACTAAATAAAATTTTCAAAATCCTAATTTATTGAATTTATAAATTTTTAGATGGTGGTTTTTTGGATTTTAATTAAATAATTAATTAACATTATAATCTAGCATTTTTAACTATGTAGTATAATTTCTAATCTCTACAATAATTATTATAATCCCTTTATAAAAAACAAAAACAAAAAAACATTCGTCTTTTCTTTTTCTCAATACATTAAAAATAAACAAAAGATAGCAAAAGGAATTAATACATTATTTAATGATGAAGATGAACTTTGTATTAAAGGAAATAAAGATATTTTTCCTAATAATGGACATTGTAAATCAATGTATGTTCGACGATCAAATAAACGAGCATGAGTTATTCCATCTGACATAAGACATGTAGTTGATTGAAATAAAGATGATGAATATTTTTTTTGATAATCTACAAATGAAAACATTCGTTGATAATTTCGTAAATGAGAACAATCACATTTTGGTGTATTAAATAAAGTAATAAATGTTGAATTGATTAATGTTTTTAAAATAATTTTCATTGAATCAATTGAAACAATGGAAAATTGATCTGGATTGGGTATAATAAATTGAAAAGGAATATTTTTCATACGAATAGTAAATAATTTTCTTGAATTATTCCATTGTTGAGATATATTAATCCATTGATTTATAGTTAATAATTGTTTAAGTTTAACATCTAGATTAGATGAAATTAAATTAATTGATTCAAGATTTGATAAATAAAATAAATTTTCTAAATTTTCAATATATTGTATTGGATTATTTTGTAAAAATAATGAAATTAAATTATTTAATGATTGAAAATAGATACCATCTATAATTTTTATATGATTATTTGATAGATCAAGTATTTGTAAATGATTTAAGAAATTTCTTTTAAAATTTGGAATTTTATTTAATTGTGTATTACTTAAATTTAAATGTATTAAATATGTTAAACATGATAAATCAATATATTGAGAATCAAAATATGAACTACTTAAATCAAGTATTTGAATATTTGAATATCTACATAATTGAATTGGCCATCGATTAAATGAATTTGAAGCTATTATTTTTGTTATATTATGTGTTGTTTTTGAATTAAATATAGGTAAATCAGATAATGTATGTGAACAATTAAATAATTTAAATGAATATTGTGTAAGATAACATTGACATGGCGTATATGGAATGCATGAAGAAATATTATAACAATTTGTTAAAGGAATTGCAAGAAAAAGAAGCATGAGAAGTTGATGTACTTGAGACATTTTTATTCATGAAATAAAATGAATATATATTGTTCATCTGTTGTTTTTTTTTCCAGACTGTTCTATTAATAATACATCTTCAGACATTATTTGTAATTTGATGCTACACATGTTTTTGCTTTACATGACTCTACGTGACATTCAACCAATAATAAAGCTACTGTATATAATATAATCTTTCGTGTTGAAATTCAACTGTCTAGATTATTCTTGTAAAGATTTTATTGATAATTCAAACAATGCATCCTATTTGATATTTAGTGTATATTTGCGTTTAATTTTAACTTGCTCATATCTATTTTTAAATTGATAAAGGTTAATTATTGTAGTTGTCATTGCAAATTATTCAACGAGAAAGAAAAGCTTGAACTATGAAATATAAATTTATAATATTATTAACATTGTCTTTATTGAGAGGCTAATCAAAATAAGAAAAATGAATCGGTAATATCATCGGAAGTAATACAATATTTGCAAATCCATATTCTTGTCTTCATTCTTTTTTTAAATTCAAACAAAATTGCTAAAAACACTTTCCTATCTGTTAATATGTCTAGAACGAAGAGACAACTAATACACAGCATATTTTCACTAAACTATCCGAGATTGGAGTACAGGTCTCAACTGATAGAATATATTAAAAAATTTCAAATATTTTGGAATTTTCATTATAAGGAAGCTCGATTGAAGTTTATATATATATATATTTTAAAATAACTTGAAATAAATTGTACTTTTATACAGTTTTTTTTTATCGACAGACAAAAAAAAATTAATTGAACATGTTTTTTGGGTATGAGTATTTTAAAAATACAACTACATTACTGAGTGCATTTACATACAAAAAATATTTCATTATACCATCATAATTTGTATTGCTTTAGTTGTAAAAAGAAGTGTTTATCTAATATATGTTTTACTCGATGACTATAATAGTCATGTAATTTTATTTTAACATGACTATACTTAAAATATTTGTTTAATTTTCAAAGTCTTCTGTTCCCGGTTGGACTTTTACATGGAAATACATAGAAAAAACATCTGAGAAGAACAGACACAAGAATATTGATGTGTATTACTTCTATTGTTGTATAAAATAATTATCAATAACCTTATACATCTATTCTTAAGTATTGAATGTCATCATAAATAGAAATCGTACAAATATCTTTGCTTATTTTGTAAAGAATAAAATAAAAATTCATTGAATGTTTTTAAATGTCTTTTTTTAAAACACTATTATTTATATATAATCGATTAAGAGAAACGAAATGTTGTTTTCGGTAATGGGTGAGACAAAATGATTGCAAAGATAAATCATAAAGATCTGAATTTTTTTTTAAAAGATGCGTCGTCATGCTCTTTTCAATAGTTAAAATGAAAGATGTTCTAATTTATCACTCATCTAAATTCGTTTTCGTTCTCTATCTAAGCGATAATCGCATTTGGTATATTTTTCATTCTTTTTGGCGATTTTCAAACATCAAGAGGATCACATAGTTCGTATTAGGCTATTGAGCAATGAGATTTTCCACAATGAACCTGATTTAAATCGTAAACTTGTGTTTTGTTTTTGCAGTAAGAAATCAGAACATCTTGTACATTTTGCACTTTATCTCTTTCTAAATACAAATATAACAAGTCAAAAGAATCTTTTACTTTAACTATGATTGAGAATTTCAAGATGTAACTTTTATAAACAATACTCAGGTTTTTATGATCTGTCTATATAGAGATATATTATCACAAACATTTCTTTTTTTTTACTTCAGATATAATGGAACATAAGAACATTTCATACGTTTTCTATTTTCGTTTTCTAAAAAAAATTCCTCAAAACACGTCAGAAAAATCTTGTGATATAAGTGTTGTAGAGAATTCATGACCTTTTTTTTTTGTTTTTGCTGAAATATTTGAAAGATATCAGATTTTACAATGATTTTACCTCACCCGATATGTTGCTCAACGCTCTTTTAAATATCTCGCTATCGACTATGATAAAATAATGACTTTGTCTGATCGAATTTAATATCCATACAAACTTCTCATATATATATATTCCAAACGACTCATAGCAGTTTTTATGAGGCATATTGTTTTTTTGTCCAATATTTAGATCAAAGAACATATAGAAAAGAAAAAGAGACGAATGGCAATACTGAAATACTAATTACATCTCTATTTCATTGAATGACACAACTAGAATATCGAACTCTATATATATATATACATGCAATAGAGATCGATCGAATCGATACACAATGTTAGTATAGACATCAAATTTTCTTTCAATATCAAAATGATTGATTTATCCGAGAACGATGTTGGTATGATGCAAAAAAAAGAAAAGAAATCTTCTTGCTCTCTTGTCTGTTTTATCATCATATAAATGTGACATAGTTTCATGACGAAATAACACATTTGGTTTTTTTAGATATGTAAAAAAAATTGTGATGAATCATTTTTTTTTTTTAATCAAATATGTACAGTGATCAATATAATTTATCAACAGTATGTAATTTTGATTAAATTTTATTTTCATTTACTTGTGTTGCTTTTTTTTGTCTCATTACAAATAGACTTTCGACAATAGTCGTATGAGTGAATCATCTTTTCGTTTTAATGATTCTTATTATATTGATCCATTACCTTATTCATCCTATAGTACGAATTCTTATCCATTTCGTCAACAAACACATTCTCATTTAACATCATCAAGTGTTTATTTTTCATCTTATCAACATCCATTTTCATCATCGACATCTCAACTTGCTCATACAGATGTAATATCCTATCCAAATTATGATACAACATATTTAAACGTTGCTGTAGCAGCAGCAGCTTATCAAAATGGTTATCAAAATCAATATCAAAATAATAATACAGTTAATGATTCAATTGATATTAGTTTTTGCACGCATTTAGATGGATTATATGGAAATAATAATGAACAAGAAATTGAAGTAAATTTTCCTCAACAAAAGCCATCCACATCAATGGGTCAATCAAGCAAAAAGAGAAAATTTCAAGATGAAACAATGAGTAAGAACATTTGTTCTTTTCTGAACTATTAACGAGAAACTTTTATTAGATACGAGAAGTTCTGAAAAACGTTTTCTAGAATGAAAATAAAGCACGACAATTCCACATTTTTCTAATTATAGTTCATCTTACTTGATAATGATTCATATTGTTTTAGAATTTCTTTTTATTATATAGAATCACAATATGAATCTGAACTTTGTCGAGTATGTGATGATGTTAGTTCCGGGTATCATTTTGGTGTATTTACATGTGAAGCATGTAAAGGATTTTTTCGTCGTTATTCAAAAAAATTAACTATTCTTGAACCATGTCCTATACGATGTTGTATAAATAAAAATAATCGTAATAATTGTGCAGCATGTCGTTTTGATAAATGTAAATGTGTTGGTAAGAAAAATCATTCAATCTATAAATTAGTAGTTATTATTGATTTTGTAAAGGTATGGCTTTAGATAAGATTCGTTTTGGTAAGCCACCAAAAATATTTCGCTCTTCATTATCAACAACAAGTGTCAAACTTGAACCAAATAATAATGATTTTCAATTGATGTTAAAATTACTTGAATGTTATCAATCATTTGAAGAATATGAACAACAACCAACAACAATGAATACTCATTCATCAATCATATTTCAATTTTGTCATCGTTTAGCTGATATTGTTATGCATGAAAATGAACGTGTACCAGAAACATTTCTTGCACGTTTAAAACGACATGAATCAACTATAAAATTTTTAATAACAGGTGAAAATGATCGAAATTTATCATCATGGAGTAAAGAACCGCAAGCATGGATATTTGCACATAATGAACGATGGCGTCTTATTATGATTTTACTTATATTAGCTTTTGATGATGAACAAATTGGTGGTGGATCATTTATTGTTTTATCATCGTTAGATATGAATGAAAATATATTTCATTCATCAAATGATACAGTTATTGAAAGAATTTTACGTTTATTTGAACTTGAATGTGATCAAGAAAAAGAAGTTCGTACTTATACAGAAGGATCAAATACATATACTAATAGTTTTGCTCATGAGAAAAATATTAAATATATGAAAGCACAATTTGTTTTACGTTTTATTGATATGATGGCAAATGATATGATATCGAACAGAACTTGTTCATCAACAATAAATAATGACTTAATAAATCCATATTTAGTTTCAGGCGATAATATTTATAAAAATACAAATGAATTAATTTGTTTACCATGTAACAATGAAATACATATACAAACAACAAAACTTAATCAAACAAATAATAATTCTAGTGAAGTTCTCTAATAATTGTTTTTTTCTTTTTCATGTTTTATTTTAATCATTTAAATAAAGTTTTGAATTTTTTAAAATAATAACGATAACTAATTATTTTAGTTTTCGATGTTTCGTAATTTATTTTTGATAACTTTAGCTCATTGATGGAGAGTGTGAGTGTTCTCTTCATCGACATCTATACTCACATCCCGATACCATTCTCACTATTGTAGATGTAAATAACTAATTAAATTCTCTTCCCGCTAATTGAACGATTGGTTATATTCAAATTATTAGTTAGATTAATTTTATATTGATATTTATTTACTATTTGAAGACGCTATGAAGTATTTCTTTCTTTTTTGTCAGTTTGCTTCTTATTACGTTCGTTTCACTATTAGGAAAAGAAAAAGAAATAGGTAGGTGCGGAAGTACATAGTAATATCTATACTTAATCTGAATGTAAAAGTTAGCAAACTCGAGAAAGAGAAAACATTCTTTCAAAACATTGTCAAATACCAAATGAATAAATATTAATTTTACAATAATCTAATCTATGGTTTCAATATAGACAATTAAGTATAAACGTTAGCATGAAATATTTGTTGACTGTTAACAAATTCAAGCCGTGAAAAATGTTAGATTAGTTGCTAAAAACGGCAAAATTTCCAACAATTATAAGCGTTTAAGCATGGCAGATGTATTAATAATTGAATTGTCGTCGACTATAGGTAGTAAATTCTTGGTTACTAATCAAACATTTTCAAAGTTTATTTATTGAGATGTTTAAAAACACGACTTTGATCATTTCTTTGTCTGTCTGAGACCTCAAACAAGTTGATGGGGGCTTAACATTAAAAAGAACAGGAGAATTTTAAGTGATAATAGGGAGAAAAAAAACATTTTTCTCACAAAGTGATTCTTAGAAACTAATTTTTAAGCTAAAGTATTTCAATAATATGTCTTGAACACGATACTTTTATGTTGCAGTGTAAAAATTGCTCTATACAGCATCGTTTTATACCATAATGAGTCATAATTTAGCAAGAAACGACCGTTGACATACCGTATTGCTCGCGTTGGATGCTGCATAAGATGTAGAATCTTAAAGAGGTTTTGCAAATGATTTCAGAATCCTAAAAGGTTCTGCAATTAAGTAAACTTCTATTAGACTTCTTTTTCCAGAGTGTGTGTTAATACTTTTTTTTATTCACGTTTTCTCGCTCTTTACACTCCGTTCTTGTGAAACAAGTCAATAATTGCCTCCTCTTATAAGAAAAAATTTCTTCATACATAATCTAAGCTGACCGAAGACGTTAATGTTGGAGAGATAATAAAGACGAAAAGCGAAAGAAAAAACATTTATATACTACGACACATGATAGTGAAAAAAAATCAGATAAAAAGCAACATAGATGACTGACAAAGAAAAACAGCATGGGTATAGTATGTGGGTGTCAGTGTGGATGCAGGTATTGATCTTATTAAAACCACACCCCACACCCGTGTCTTGGAAAATTTCGCTGTGAATTCGGTAATCTTCTTTTTTCGTATTTTTCACTTTGAACTCAGCTTTTATTTTATCGTTTCATTAAGGGAACTGCGCACATCCTCATTACGACAGCGACGATAAACAAAAAAAAGATTTCGCTATTGATAAAAATTTTGACTTTTATTCAAAAAATGGATCAAAATTTGACTCTTTCCACATTTTTTTCGTATGAATTTCACTTTTGCAGATGTTCTTCGAAAAAATTCTCGGTCGATATACATTCAAAATTTCCCAGAAATATTCTTTGCACTTTTCAACTTGTCCATAGTAGTAGTTAACAAATTTTCACCGTCGTTCTTTATAGTCATAGCTTCCACGGGAATTTTCGATTCATTAAGTTTTGATGCTATGGCCGACAATACTTCTGTATCACTCATGTTGAATGATTTCTCTACATCTACAATGATCTGATTCTAAAATTGAATCAATTTTGTCAGCAAATTTCAATTATTCAATCATCATGTATAGTCATCAAGTGATTCGTTGAGCAAATTACAATTGAAATTGGGTTATTTAAAATCATAAGTTAAAATAAATAAAGTGATCTCTATTCTCTTTTGTATTTTTGCAATTAGAAACTTTTATTCTATTGTAACTTCATCTGAATTAAAAAATATATACAAAATTGATAAACAAATCATTCATCGATTTCAAAGTATTTCTTATAATTTCAGACATCTCAGTCCCCACCACAACCTCCTCCACATCCTCCGCCACCACAACTTGATCCACCTCCACAACTTGATGCACCTTCACCACCACAACTCGACACCCCCCCATCTCCACCATTCAATCCACAGTCGCCTCCATCATTCAATTCACATCCGCTTGTAGTCCCTTCGCAAGTCTCATTGTAGGTAGACGTCAGATCCATTCCATGGAAACTGACATATTGTGATGTTTGTAAAATTTTTTTATCAACATCTTGTAACATATGTGATTTATAGGCTTTTTTCCATCGATCAGCTGTTTTTTGAAAGGCATTCGTTAGAATATTTGTTTCAATCGAATCATCATGATTAAGGACAAAACCGCATACAGCTATTGAGAATGCTCGATAGTGTTGTGGATATCTCAGATGCGTATGCCATATCAAATCAATATCAAATGTTGGTACAATAATATCATTTGGTTGAGCTAATTGCATAAATAACGCATAATTTCGCATCAGTTGTCGAAATAAAAAAATATTCATCTTTTTTAAATCCCATGAATAGAGAACATGTTTCTTGAACTTATCAAGAAAATCACATTGACGAAGCACTGCTTGGACTAAATCGATTGAGGGAACGAAATTCATATCACAGTTTGTTGATAGATTTGGAGGAGTAGCTTCATACTGTTTGCTATAATTTGTTGGACACTTTTGAACTTTTTGATCGACAGGCTCGCCGTCTGGAAGTTGTTTACAACAATCATTGTAATAAGCAAGTGGATGAAGACGATGTACATGCCAAATCCAATCAATTTGCCATGGAAGCTTCAATTGTTGATGTCTGAATTTCATTTCTTGTCGTGCCATTTTTCCACAATAATCTTTAATGAAATTCTCTAATACTTCTCCTTGTTGTGTCATTTCTGGATGGTTGATTACTTCACGAAGTAACAAAATATGATCAACAAAATCATGATACGACATTGTAAATGTTGTGCCGTCTTGTTTTTTAATTTTTAAATTGAAATTCGGAAACGATAATGAAAATAAATCGCTCATTTCTGGTCGATTTGGTTATGAAAGTATTTTAACTAACTATATGTTGCATAGGTGATGTCGATGTTTTATATACACAACAATTTATCATCTTTGTGTCATGATGGCTTACGATGACAACAACGTTGTTGTGCTTTCCTCCTTTCTTCGAAAAAAACGAAACATGAATCTTTTACAAAACATGTGGCGTGCAAATATTGACCTTTCTTTAATAATAAATCTTAGTATCTTTTGGAATTTTCTTTTCATTGAGTCAGAATTTACATTCTCTTGGTGAGGTTGAGTGTGGAAAAAATTCGACGCCCCGTGACATAGAGAGAAAGGAAGAGAATAAATAAATATAAACGATACACCAAACTTGATTCTAATAAATGCATTGCATTCATTGAAACTATTATAATTGCTTAGAAACTTCGTTCGATTCATTCTTCCTTGCAAAGAGACAATCAATGAAATTAATAGACTATAATGATCGATTTATCAAAGCACAGTTTTGGCTGAGATTGAGACTGCGAATCTGCTCTAAATATTTACTTCTCTAGATAGATTGATCTAACAATTCATCACTTATTAGTTACATAAGAGGGAATCAGCTTGAAACTATTGTATGACTCAATAGTAGGAATAAGTATGCATACTTATTTCATGTTCTTTTTCTCATCATAACACACCATTCTGATGTCATTTATTGACTTGTGAAAGTTACCATCAATAAAAAGTTCTATTTTGCTTAACAATACTGCGTCTCTTCGCACGTCAAGTGCATTTTAAAACGAATGTCGTGCCTACCAATCATGTTCAGATTTTCAAAAAGAAAAAAGGTCCGGTTGAAAGTTCCGCACAGTTCAGATACATCTTCTTTCACATTTTTACTACCAAAATAAATAGATTTAGTGCTTTACGTTGGTTCTAGTTTCAAAAGTAATAAAGCTAGATGAGAGACTCGTATTGTACAGTTAAGTTAGTTAAGATTTTAGATAAAACGGTTTGATTTTGTATGATACCATAAGAATAGATAGAGATCTATCAACATCACCCATCAACCAACAAGATTTTATGTTAACATCTACTATGTCAAAACTCTATTATTTTTTCTATCATTATCTGATACATCATCGTGTCTTTCTCTCAATTTTTTTTGTTTCAAATGCAGTTGTACTTTTCTTTTACATACTGTTAAAAAGTACTGCTCTTAGTAGAATTTTTTTTTGCATCAAATACCGAAAATTTGACTAAGCAACTGAAGTTTTCCATAGGAAATAATTTTTTCAAAAAAATATGTACAGAAAGAGCAATGAAAATTAATTCTTACTTTTCAAGCTGAAGAAGTTCGTTCCTTTAACTTTTCAATTCAACTAAATACTTCTATAAGAAAAATTTCTTCATCGATCAATAATCGTCTGAATGATGTTAAAAGGCAAAAAAAAAATGAGTATTGAAATATGATGCCTCCACGCAGGATCGAACTGCGGACCTCCAGTTTACTAGACTGGCGCTCTACCACTGAGCCATAGAGGCACATTGACCTTCGTTTTTNATGTTTTTCAAATATCATTAGTTTTAAAAGAATTTCGTCTTATACATTATCGAAGAAAAAGACGTGCCCGCTCCTCCTCTTTCGATTGGTGAAAACCGCAGGTAGCTAGGTATTGCGGTTGTCGAGTTATTGAGCTTACACTCACCCCTCTTTTATTCTGGCGCGGACATTAGTCCCAGTTGCAGGAGATGTCACAGTCCCATGTACAGCTCGCTTTGTATCTTTATTGCATTCTTATTGATTCACCCATACAGTTTTTGACCATCGTTCTCGTTGGTCATATGTGTGTCGGTGTACTTGAGTGATGTATCGCTTGCATCTCTCTGTTTCTTTCTCTGTCTGGTATCGTTAGAGTAGAACAGAAGCACAATATATGCTGGTTCATCATCCTCATTGACAAATGAATCATCCAAAAATACCAAATCAACTATCATATTCTCCGAACAATCCAATCAGGAATGACAAGCCACAGATGCCCATATAATGAAGTAAGTCGATCGCGGCGGAAGATTGTCATGAACACGCTAACTGGTGTTTGCAAAGTGTCAAGAACTCTTACACGAAGCCGGTATGCAGCTTATCTTTTTCTTTCTTTTTGTTCTATTGATTCATAGAGGACTTGATCTGTTTTCATTCTCAACAGCTGCCCGAGATTATGTCGACCTTTGAGTTTTGAACGATGCAGAGAATAGCCAAACCATATTTTCATAGAAATGCACAACGAAACGATAGAACTATATAGAAAAATCACTTCATTCTGGTCCTTGGATGAGGCGTGTACAGGTTTTGGAAAAACGAAAATTACGAAAATTACGAAACTTACCAAAATTACAAAAAACCGCATGAAAATACAACGAAACAAATTTTGGAAGTACCTGTTTCTGAAAATTTGTCCGTTGTTCCTTTTTAGAACGTCTTTCATGTTTCCATATCTTCACCGACCTACCCAAGGCACAGTATTCGAAAAAGACTTTCAATGCTTTATTTGCAAATTCGAATTTATGCACATAGTGTAATGCTCAATTGATAGAGCTAGACACTCTCTATCGTTCTATATACTATACTTTTTAGGAGTTCAACGATTATGTGAAAACATGAAAAATAACTGTTTGCAACCAAAAGTTTCAATGTATTTCATCTTCTTCTCACATTTGCATGGTAGAAATAAAAAATAATTAGATACTAGATTCATAGTCAGGACAAGAAAAAGTAGAACAAGATGCATTTTCCTAGAAAATATTTCCCATCGGAATTTCATATGCTACGCGAGCTATCGTGAAGTTCCCTACTAATCAATAGATGTCGAATTTCGATGAAAAATATTTGTCTGATAATACGAATGTTCTTCTACTGAATGTCTACGCTGATTGCGAATCTGGTGTCTATTTTCTTTTTCAACTATACAAATATGTAAAGAAAATGAAATACATTGAAACTTTGTTTAAAAACGGTTGTTTCTCATGTTTTAACATAACTGTGTAACTCCTAAAATGTTTAGTATATAGAACGATAGAGAGTATCTGGCTCTATGGAACTTTTATGTCATCAAGTGTACGAAATCATATTTGCAAATAAAGCATTGGTGGTCTTCTTTTGACTACCGCGCCCAGAAGTACGTTGAGGAAGATGTCAAAAAATACATTTTATGAAATATTGTGATTTCGGATACTCGACTTAAAGCGAAATTTCGATGAAGTCTTCACGTTTTTCTTATCAAACCAATACCAGTAAAAATTTCGATAAACTCTGAGTGCTTGACAAAATCTGACGATCTTTTTATAAGTCGTCGAAAGTTGTTGACAGAGACACTTGCATTCAGTCTAGTTTCGTACCAAAAAGAGACAAGTGTCTTCTGAATTGACATCGGTCGATCTTTAAAAACAATCAGTTTGAGAAGTCATGAAAATGTAATCTCTCTCTTGATTCCACAGGAAATACGAATGATAACAGTAAATATGCTCGTCTTTTTTGGAGATTTGCATGTTAAGCTTGTTCAACTCCCCCACCCCACCCTCCTGTGTGGTTGTGACGATCTAGTGTTGATGATTCTGACAAAAAATCATTCTTAATCGATGTCTTTGATTTGAGCGAGATTCAGGATGATGATCTCAAGACAATCACTGACATTGACAACCTGAAGGATCTAGTTTGTAATCAAAAAACATATCTTCAACATTTACAACGGAGTGCTCGTGGCTAATGCATCGGATGTTATTCGATCGCCAACTCTAACAAAAGAACTACAAAATCTTGAGGTAGAAAATCGTATAAGTAATTTTCTTCAGAAAAGCCACCAAGAAAGATCCTTCGGTCAGTGTTTCACCCTTCTAAAATCTGAGTCTTTTCATTTTAACTTATGCAAGCAACTTCGAGTTAATTAAAAATTAACTGACAAAAATGCTAGGCAACAATCAAACATAGTTGCGCAACATTACAAAAATACGAAAGAGACATTGGGGAACAGCACCATGTCTTTATGAATGTATGTGGGCACATTGATGTGGATAGGTGTTTTTTAAAATTTTATCCGCATCTACAAGGCAAACTGAGCAACAATGAGTAAGGCATAATTAATGGCCAATTTTTGTTTTCAATTTTTAGTACATTTAATAATTGTTACAAAATCTGACTCCTAGCTCATTTGGTAGAGAATCTATTGCTCTACAACACTGCCGACTTTCGTTTTCACATAAATTTTTTCGGTCTCGAAAAATTTAAAAGATTAATGCCTACTCAATCGCCCATCTGCGATTTGCGAAAGCATTTGATCAGCCAGCTGAACGCTAAAAGGAAAGTATTCAGTATATATACTTAGAGAATTTTGGGATCTATGCTACAATGACTTTCCCAATACTTTTAGTGATGTCGCTCAGCAGAAAAAGGCTTGCAACTGATGCCTAGTGGTATTTTTCAGCGTAGTTTGGAAAATCATGCTTTCAAAAGCCAGACTCACTCTATGAAAGGTTGATTTTCATAGCGTCGAATGCTGAATTGAGCTCTAAACAAAACGGTACAATTGTCAAATTGAATGACGTACAATTTAATTTGTTTCGATTTATAAAAAGAACAATTTCGTACGTCTGTCGGAAAAGGGTGCTTTTTCTATGTTTTCACATGCTTTTCTTGAAAACATTTCTTCCTAAACATTTTTTCTGCAATTCTGGAAACATACATTCAAAGATGCAGAATTCAATGGAGAATTTTGTGTCATATATGAAATTGGAATTGAACCTATATTTTATAAATGTCATTGGTTTTTCGTTCTTTTAACTGTTGCAGGTGAACTATTCAGTCGACGTTAATTTTCAAAAGTTTCCACTGACTGGACAAATCTATTGGAAAAATGAAGGCTACTGTTTCATAGAGCAATAAATTTTCAATCGAATGAGCTGTGAAGAGAACGCTAAAACGATTTTTAAGTACCCTAAAGTCACCAAATAAAAGTAGGCCATTTATAATGACTCAT